CAAGGTTGGAGACCCCTGGCTTAGACCTCCTGCTGCTGCAAAGGAAGCCCAGCAACACTGCCTTTTTCTGTAGATCTGGCACCACTCCTTCTACAATGAATTGCGAGTGGCCCCGGAGGAGCACCCCACGCTGCTCACAGAGGCACCTCTGAACCCCAAGGCAAACCGGGAGAAGATGACCCAGGTAAACCTTCCATCCCAAGGCTGCTGGGTGAAAGGGCAGATACGGGGGATGAAGCCACTGCACCTGCATCCTCATGACGCCACGAGGGCAGAAAGCCTGGTTCTGCTGCAAGCTGGTGTCACAGGCAGAACTTGAGATGTGCACACCCACACACCCACACACCCGTCCCACCTGGAGCATTGGTCAGTGTGGCCTGTGCAAAGGAGGATTTGGGAGACCCAGGAAGCAGGCAGGTCAGAAGCTTCCTGGGCAAAACCAGGTGGGGAGGACTTCCCTTGGGCGGATCCTCTTCATTTTCAAGAGAGTTACACAAAGGATTGAGCGAGAGAGCCTGATTGATGACTCTGGGCTATGGACGTGTCCCATTGGAGAATATGAATTATGATACACCCAGAGGGATGGGGTGGGGGGGAAACCAGGGCCAAGGGTGACAATGAATGATGCGCCTCAGAGTCGGCTACACCCAGGCAGTGCCAAACATGTTAACTCCCAATCAATCCTTTGGAAGTTTTGGAAGTTTGTCTTGAGACTCAGGATTTAATTGGGGGTAACTGCCGGAATCCTGACACCCCTGTTTTTAGATTCACAGAGAGCGCCCCTTGGGTTTTCCACAATGGTTCCCGTGCATTATTGAGCAAACCCTATTCTTGGTGATCTGATGCTCCCGTCTTGGTCCTGTTCCTGATTTTCGTTTTTGCTCCCACAGATCATGTTTGAGACCTTTAATGTCCCAGCCATGTACGTTGCCATCCAGGCAGTCTTGTCCCTTTACGCATCTGGCCGAACCACTGGTGAGTGTCTCCGTCTTTACCTTCTTCACCAGTTTGCATTTGGGTGGTTTTGTAGCATGCATGCATACATACATACATACATACATACATACATACATACATACCATTTAATTCATCACCATCCCCTCTAAATCACTCTACACTTAGAGCAGCAAGGACAAATCCAGACATAAGTCTTAAGAGCGCTGCTGAAAGGGAAAACAAAGCTGTTTAAAGGAGCTGCGTTCTTCCCTGGGGCTGCCAGAACCTGGAAACGCAGCTGCTTTAAAGGCTGGCTTAGAAGTGAACTGTGGGCATCTTTTACCAGCTGCTTCCCCCTTACGGCAAGCGTTCTGGCCAGGCTCATTTAATCCCTTGGTTGGATTCTTTAGGTGGAGCTATAGAAGTTTGGCTTCATATAACTGTATAAGCTTGTGCTGGAGATCAGTTCTTCCTACACTGGCCCCTCCAGCTACCCTGGGCCCCTGTGAATGCTCCAAGGCAGGGGTCTCCAAGCTTGGCAACTTTAAGCTGGCTGGGGAATTCTGGGAGTTGAAGTCTGCCAGGCTTAAAGTTGCCAAGCTTGGAGACCCCTGCCCCAAGGGACCTCAGGCTGGGTAAGGGAGGCTGTGACAGCATCCTTCAGCCACACGCACCAATGGGCGTCTCTCTTACACACCCGGCTTTGGCTAGGAGGTGGGGAAGAAAGTAACTAATGTTTCCCTTTTTTAATTTCAAGGTATCGTCTTGGACTCTGGTGATGGTGTCACTCACAATGTGCCCATTTACGAAGGTTATGCTCTGCCACACGCAATTATGCGCCTGGATCTGGCTGGCCGGGACCTTACGGACTACCTCATGAAGATCCTCACCGAGAGAGGCTACTCCTTTGTCACCACCGGTAAGGGGGAATTGGGCCTCTCGGGCTCTGCAGGGACAGGAGGACGGACTCTCTTAGTATTTCTTTCTCTGCCCAGGAGCAAAGGGACTCTTCTTTTAGGGAACCGTCCAGTCTCTTCTTAAAGACCTCCAGTGATGGAGCCCCCACAACTTCTGGTGGCGAGCTGTTCCACTGGTTAATTGTCCTCACTGTTAGGAAGTGTCTCCTTAATTCCAGGTTGCTTCTCCCTTCGATCAGTGTCCAATCATTGTTTCTTGCCTTGCCCCTCCGGAGCTTTGGAGGTGTGGATTAGTGCAGGACATATAACTCAGAGGGGCCTATGTCTGTTCGTACATGCTTCACCCCTGCATGTTCAGGGCCCCGCTGGGGGCTGCTGCAGGAGCAACTGGCCTGTGTCTTCCACAGCTGAAAGAGAAATTGTGCGGGACATCAAGGAGAAGTTGTGCTACGTCGCCCTGGATTTTGAGAATGAGATGGCAACGGCGGCTTCCTCGTCATCCCTGGAGAAAAGCTACGAGCTGCCTGATGGACAGGTCATCACCATCGGCAACGAGCGCTTCCGTTGCCCCGAAACGCTCTTTCAGCCCTCGTTCATAGGTCAGTCTCTCCAGGGGGGGAATCAAGGACAAAGCAACTCGTTCTGAATAAAGAACGAATGGAAAACCATAAACTCCTCTGCAGTGAAACTGTAGGAAACCCTAAAGCAGAGGTCTCCAAACTTGGCCACTTTAAGACTTGTGGACTTCAACTCCCAGAATTCTGGGAGTTGAAGTCCACAAGTCTTAAAGTGGCCAAGTTTGGGATTCTGGGAGTTG